GGAGCGCGAGGCGGAGCCCTGCTGCCTCAGGCGCAGGACGCGGACTGGCGGTGGGCGAGGAGGTGAGGCGGAAGTCCCGCCCCGCGGAGGGACCGCGGCGGAAGTCCCGCCCCTGGGGAGGGACACGGCGGAAGTCCTGAAGGTGAGAGGGAGGCTGGGGGCGTCGGGGAGGTCGCTGAGACTGGGCGCCTCCAGGGGGCGGGCGGGCCGGAAGAAGGCGCCGCGGGAGGGCCGCAGTCCTGGGAAGGGGTCCCCCCGGGGACGGGGCCCCGGCTGGGGGTGGGAGAGCGCAGAACAGGGGCTGCCCCAGGGGAGGGGCTGACAAACTGAAGAGTCGCCTTGAAGGAAGGAAGGGCCGGGGACTGAGGCTCCCCCGGGGAGGGAGCGGATGCCGCAGGAAGCTGTCATCACGGGGAGCGAGGACGGGTCCCCGTGGGGAGGTGATCCGGGCGCAGTAGGGGGGAGGGTGTTGCGGGGACGAGACTCACCTGAGCGGAAGAGGTGCCGGCAGAGCTGGTTCCGTGGGTGGGGGAGGGCCTGAGACCGAGGCTTCCCCCAGGTGCGGGGCTGCGGGGCAGAGCTGTCACCGTGCGAGGGGAGCAGTGCGACTCGCTCGTGTGTCCATCGTAGGGAGGATGAAGGACACGAGCAGCGCCAGGGAGGGCGATGCCCGGTGGAGAGTCCCGGAGAGGGGGTGGCGCAAGGCCTCTGCCTTGGGAGGGGGCGCCAGGACCGAGTCTCCACTGAGGACAGGCCTCCTTTGGGAGGGGCCTGAGACAGAGGCTCCCCTGAAAGAGAGATACCCCTAAGGCGGAGGCCTCCCGGGGACAAGGTGCTACCTGAGGGGCCAGGCACAGACTTCCCCTGAAAAGACTGTGAAGACCCAGATGCTGCCTTCTACGTGAATCGGTGTCCCCATCCCCGTAGTGCAGCAGCCTGTCACCAGCCGGCACGGCTTAGGTCCTGAGAGCTCAGTTCACAGTTCTTCCTGGTCAGTGCCAGCTCACTTGCCAGGCACGCAGCGTAGGGGGAGAACGCATTGCTCTAGCTCATCAAGCTTTCAAACACCAGAGCTGAAAAGCTAAGTTCTACACCAGTAGGGTAAGGCTTCTGAGTTTGTTTTTTGTTTTGTTTGAGACGGTCTTGTTGTCTCAGGCTGGCCTTGGATTCACTGTGTAACCCAGACTGGCCTCAAACTCTTGGCACTCCTGCTTCAGCCTCCCCAGTGCTGGGATCACAGGCTTGCGCCACCCCACCCAGCCAGGCTTGTGTTTTTTCTAAAGGAGAGGAATATACTTTAGGAATCAGACAACGCTTCCCTGTCTGTTGTTGATAACCCACATAGTTTCCTCGAGTGTACTGTAGACACATTCCTTCAACAAAAATCACTGCCAAGCCCAGCGCTGGTGCTGGAGATAGGAAGATCAGTAAGAGATGGTTCCAACCCGGAAAAGACTCAGACTACTGAGCAAGAAAGAGACACAAACATAACTGGGTCCAGTTGACTGCCCTGATACAGGATGTACAGATATCTGGGGGCGGCTTAACAACGCGCAGACATGCCCACCTACGTTCCAGTTGAGAAGTGGGAGAGGGCTCATAATGTGGCACTTTGACACCCGTTGCTAAATAAAGTTACAGACACCACAAACAGGAGAATGTACAGGAAAATGAGCTCTGAGCATGCAGGTTACTCGATACTGTCATTCAGTCTTTCCCATCTCACTGATTGCTGGTTTGTTCATTCACAAATCCTTTTGTGTGTCTACTGGTGCTGGATGCTAGGTCCCCTACCAGTGTCAAGATTGAAATTGTGTAAGTATCCTGGTTAGCAGGCTAAAACCTCCTAGGTGTTTCCTTGAGGAATGGTAAATAGTCACATGTTGCTTGTTGTGCATGGAGATCTTGACCCTTAGTTTTGTATCCTCGGTTGTAAAACAAAACTCCAAATCATCCGAAAAACATTCCCCCTAACTTATTTTTTTGTGTGCGGAGAATAATTGAACCCAACATCTCCAGGCCTTTGCATTTCCTTTTCTCTCTCTCCTTCCCCCTCCCTTCCCTCTCTCTCTCTTGCACAGACTAATCTTGACCTCCTAAGCTCTGGATCTCCTGCTTCAGCCTCGCAGGTAGTTTGGACTACAGGTGCATGCCACCGTCCCCACACACTATCTCCTAATGAGCTTCCCTCCTCCATTTATTTCAGAGTGTAACACACCACCCACACTTCCCAAGCACTGAAATTTTCCTCCTTAGCATTTAACCTTTCTATGTCATTTCCCTTTCCCATACTTCTAATCTGTCCTGTTAATCTATTTTGTTTGTTGTCATTTATCTATTTTGTTACCGCTAGAATATAAGCTCCAGAAGGGTAGAGATTCTTGTCTTTTATGTTTATTTTTCTTTGCCCAGCCCATCACCTAGAAAAAGGCCAACTATATGGAAATGACTCCATAAATATTAATTGAATTTAGAAAAAACTTTATTTTCAGAAGGGAGAAAAATAGCATGTGTCCAGAAGTAGAACAACAAGCCAAGAAGTTCAGGAAAGAGGGAAGAAGGAGAGCCAGGTGTGGTGTGAATCACAGCTGTGGCATCACACCTGTGATCCCAGCACTTTAGGAGGCTGAAGCAGGATGATTGAAAGTTCCAACAACTTAGCAGTTTAAAAAGCCCTCTGTCAAAAAATAAAAGGACTAGGGGCTGGGGATTTAGCTCGGCGGCACAGCATCTGTCTGGCAAGCGCAAGGTCGTGAGTTCGATTCCCGGTACCGGGGGGAAAAAAAAAACCCAAAAAATAAAAATAAAAGGACTGGTGATGTAGCTTAGTGAGAGAGCTCTGAGTTCAATCCCCAGTACTGGAAAAAAGGGAAGAAGGGAAAAGAAAAAGGAGAGGGAAGAATGAGAGAAGACAGAAAGAGGAATTAACAAAACATAAAAAGAAGTATAGGAAAGAGAAACAAACGAAATTGGTCAAACAGTGGATATTTTGACCACCCAGAATTGACTAGAGGATTTCAACCTTGACTGAAGCAATGGAACAAGTTAATATTTTACCTAGGTTAAATGGCATCTTTTAATGTTATGTAACTATTTACCTTAGATAAACCAGATAAACATGCCACCAGGTTGATGTACATGGCTTCCCCTCAGATAAAATCTATGAAATAAATTTGTGTCTTGAGCCCGCTACAGAAGAACCAATTCAGCAATTATTCAGTAATTTTTTTAAGAAGTAAATTGCTGGGTGTGGTGCAAACACCTGTAAACCCAGCACTCTGGGAAGCTGAGGCAGCAGGATCACAAGTTCAAGCCCAGTCTGGGGAGCTTAGCAACTTAGTGAGACCCTGTCTCAAAATAAAAAGGGTTAAGATTGTAGCTCACAGTGAAGGTCCTGAGCTCCAGGGTCACAAATGAAAAGTAAATTAAAATAAATAGAAGAGAAGAAAGGGGGGAGTCAAAGAGAAAGGTGAAGTACAAGGCAAAATCAATTTGAACCAAAAAGCAAATGGTTATGGCCAGAAAGAGAGAACGGAAAGGAAGAAGTAAATACTGGTAAAGCAAAGGGAAGATGAGCAGCAGATAGATAGGAAAGTTCTTGCTTGTGCTGCTCCTCTATCTGAAATTATCATCATCCCTGCATGTGGTTCTCTCCCTGGAAAGGTTTTCACCACCTAATATGTCATTAGGAGCAACTCTAGCCTACAGATACCTCTTGTATGGTTTAGATGTAAAATGTCCCATGTGCTCAGAGGTGGGGCTTTCGAAGGTGATTGGATCATGGGGCATTTTACCCATCAGTGCATTCATCCACTGATGAGTTTATGGCTGACTGTGCTGTTGGGAGGTGGGGCCTGGTTGAAGGTGGTCACTGGGTGTGTGACCTGAAAGGGTGTATTCTTGTCTCTGGCCCATTTCTTCCCTCTCTGTTTACTGGATGCCGTGAGGTGAGCAGCTGTCCTCCACCAGGCCCTTGCACCATGCTGTATCTGCCTTGGATTCAGCCAGCCATGGACTGAACCTGCTGAAACCACGAGCCAAATAAACTTCTCCTTTACGTTTCAGTGTCAAGTATTTTGTCCAAGTGACAGGAAAGTGACACTTTTCTTGGCTTTGACTTTCTGTACTCAGCCTTGTGCTACTGTTCCCTACTACAAGGATTCCTGTGCTCTTTATCAGAAGCATCAGGCAGAAATACCTTGACACAGAAATAGGCTTTTATTCTTGTGCTAGAGCACAAGAGAGAAAGCTGTGGAGTCCTAACGTGACCCAAACAAAGAACAGAGATGTATAGGATGGTTCACTTTTTAATGCTCCATTCCCTGGTACATAACTCCACAAGGCGAAGTCCTAGTTTAGCTGTCTAACTATGAACCTGTTTATGTACCTGTCTTCCACATCTGAGGTCCTTTAAGATGGAGATTTTATCTCCCTCATCTCAGCCTTGTGCTTGGAACCCATGCTGTAAGTATTTGTTGAACTGAAGACTTTGGAGATCAAGAAAGAAGGAGAAAAAGATAACAGTATAATTATTCAGGGTAGGTACAGGCAAACTACAACCTGTGAGCCAACTTTTTCCCTCCGCTTATTTTCATAAATAAAGTTGCACGGGATACTGTCAGTGACATTCATTTACGTGTTGTCTGTGGCTACTTTAGCACTACAATAGCTGAGCCCAGTAGTTGTGACAGAGACTGGAGGGCCTACAAAGTGTGAACTGTTAGAACATGAGCCCTGGGGCTGGGATGCAGGTGGGTGGGGTGGCACTGGCTTAGTGTGCATGAGGCCCTGGGTTTGACCCTGGGAACCACACAAAAATATGAGCTTTGCCAAAAAAGGAAAACCTAGATAGCATGAGTCCTATTTTGGTCTCTTAAAACCTGGCCTCAGACTATCTCATCAAGCTTTTAAAAAATAATGCTCTCTTTAAGCACTTTTCCATGCATAAATTAGAAAACTAATAGGATCAGGCTGCTGGGAGGATTCATGAGATAGACTGTGTCAGTCTGGTATTCATCAGAGATTCAGCCTTGCTTAGTAAGCATTAGCACTGAACTGTGTAGCCTAGGCTGGAGAGACCCACAGAGAGGATGAATAAACTGCAAGGTGGACTGAAAGAAATTATCCATCATGAAGAAATAAAAACACCAAAAAAACACAGAAAGACTGAGACAGAGAACAGACTAGGAAGGTCTCACGTGTGTCTCTGGAGTCCCAGAAAAACTGAAAAATAGGACAGAGTAATACTTAGATTCCAAACCACAGATTCAAGAAGCTGTAGGAGTACAAAGCGGAATAATTAAAAAACAGCCACTATATAGATAATATTATGGTGAAGCTATAGAAAAAGACAAAATCTGATAAGAAGCTATTGGAATACAGTTTATTTTTAGAGGAGTAAGAGTATGAGGAGGCTGTGCTCCCCACAGGAACGCTGGAAAGCAAAATAGTGACACTCCATCTTCAGTGTGTTGAAAAAATATAAATAATCGCCAACAGATCCATGCTGAAGGAAATATAACAGGGTGTGAAGTAAACCAGGCATGGTGACACACACCTGTAACCCCAGGTGCTCAAGAGGGTGAGGCAGGAGGATTTTGAGTTCAAGGCCAACCTGGCCAGCATGGCAAGACACTGTCTCAAAAAGAAAAGTATGATTTAGAAAAGACAGTCCTGGATGGAAGATAAGAGATGCAAGAAAAAATGAAAATCAGTGAGAATCAGCCCATCTAAACCACTGGCTTCTAGGCATGCATGGTGCACACCTGTAATCCCAGTATTCAGGAGGCTGAGGCGGGAGGGTTGCTGTGAGTTAAAGACCAGCCTGGGCTACAAAGTGAGCTCAAGACCAGCCTGAACTACATAGCAAGACCCGGTCTCAAAAAAAAAAAAAAAAACAGAAAACAAACAAACAAAAAACACTATTGGTTTTATCAAATGAGCACTTCACACGTAAAAACAATAATAAAGCAACAATGACTCACAGGGCTTTAAATGCACAGAAACTAGAACATTCATGACAGGCTCTGCTGCAAATTGTCATGACACTGATTTGTCCTCTCCTGCCCCAGCTAGTGCTCCCAGTCTCTCAAAAGGCCACTTCCATGCAGGTGCGGCTTCTTCCTGAGGATTTCCTTTGTTGAAACGAAGATCACAGGAGACCATACTTGGAATTTCTCTGTTAGCAGTGACATTATCTGGACGGGAGCAGCCATTCACAAACATCTGGCAGAACAGTGCGGGAGAGAACTTTACAGATGCCATTTGGCATGGGACTACCCAAAGTGCTTTGTGAATGAACCCATGACAAACTTCCACTCCTGGGTAAGATCACAAAGACTACAAAGATGACCCAAGAACACACTTCCTCAAAGGAAAGTGCCATGAAACCTAGATGCACTGCAGGAAGCAACCACAGCAGGTGTCAGAATAAGAAGCAGATGGACTCTGATGACAGGTCCTTAGAGGAGAGAGATGGTGTCATGAGCAAGTTCCTCTCTGTGGCTGTATATAATTGTAGTAAATGCTGGACACACATGTGCAAACCCTGCATTCTTTCCGGCCTGGGAACGTAAAAATAAGTGTCAGAAATGTAGATGCTGAAGAGAATGAGCAACCCTAAAAAGAGGAAGAGCCAGACAGGAGATCCCCAATTAGTTCTGTCCCTATCCCTGACTTTCCACAGGATCTTATCATGGGGTGCAGAACAAAAGCAGCTCAACTGAAGACAAAAGGTCTGAAGCAAGTCTAGAGCAACCCCTAAAGAATAGTTTTCAATCCAAGTCCACAAAGGAACCAACACTCAACACAGGAAAATAACGTAATCCAGAACTGCCACAGTTTAGTAATCACAATATCTGGCTACAATCCAAAAGCCATCTGAAATGCAAAGAAACAAGAAAGTGGAAACCACTTCCAAGAGGAAAGACAATCAACTGACCCATCCATGAGATGGAGCAGATGTTAAGACTACCAGAAACAAAACTCAGAGCAACATTTGTAACTAAAGTCTATGATGGAAAGCAAAACGTGCCTTCAATGAATAAAAACCTCAAGAGACAAATGGTAAACCCCAGCAGAGGCATAGAAACAATTTTTAAGAGACCAAGTGGGAATTATAAACCCAAAAAACACTATTTCTGAAATTAAAAGTTTTCCAGAGGTCCTTAACAGCTAAAGAACATAAGAGGAGATAGAATAAGTGAAATTGAATCAGTGAGTAGATAAGAGAAATGATAGCTAGACCAAACATTTCTAAGGATAAGGAAAAAAGAAAAATAATGTTTAAAATATAGCAAACAGCAAGAGTCTCAGAGGACTGTTTGATTCTTCATTCAGACATTACTGTAGTTACATATACATCTTAAAGGAGAAAATGTTATTTGGCTCTTGGTTCCAGCAATTTCAGTCAATGGTTGGCTGGCTCCAAGGCATGAACATGGCAGAAGGACATGGCAGAAGAAAGCTAGTCACATCGTGGCAGCCAGGATGCATACAAAGCAAGGAAGAGCCAGAGATGAAGGAGCTAGGGACCAGATATAGTACCTGAGGTCATGCACCCCATGAGCCAACCAGACATACCCAGAAGTGTGCTTTATTAATCCCCTAGGCATCTCTCTAGTCAATCAAGTTAGCAATCAAGATAACATCACAGGTAAATATACACTTCTGTTTATTATATTTTCATGGTGAATTTTCTCTTTCATCATTATGAAGTTTGCCTTGGAGATAGCAAACCATGGACTGAAACCCCTGAAATTATGAGCCAAAATAAACGTTTTCTCCTTTAAGCTATGTGTGTTATATATTTTTTTCTAGCAACGGAAAGATGACTAAGACAGAAAAATTGATACCAGAGAAATGGGGTCTTTGCTGTGACTATACCTGATGATGTGGTTCCAAAGCCACTGGAACTAATTTGTGGGAGGAATTTCGGGAAGATTCAGAGATGTGGTCTAGTGAAGTCCTGAAATGTTGCAAGCAGATTTTAATGGATGATTCTGATGGCGCTCAGGAGACCAGAATGCTGATGGGAAGGCATGAAATAAAGGCTATGCACATGAAGTTTCAGATAAGAACAAGGACTCTACAGGAAATTGAGCAAGAGACCATTCATATTACATTCTAGCAAATAACTTGTCTACACTTTATCTATGCCCTAAAACTGTATAAGGCTGAGTTTAGAGGTGATGGGTTGAACTGATTTGGTGGAGGAAAGTTCCAGGTAGCCCAATGCTCAGGCTGTGGTATGGTTACTATTGGTAGCTTTTAGCTAGATTTATAGTGAGAATCAGGTGCAAAAAGAAGAGCTAAAACATTTGAAAAACTGGCAATTTGGTCATAAGAAAAACTATTTGTAAAGTTGAGGCCAAAGAAGGTGTGGTTGCTGAAGAGATGTGTGTCATTCAAAAGAAGCTAAGTACTTTGCACTGGACAGGGAAGGTCCCTTGAGGGCATCTCATAAATTGGTCAGAACCCCAGTCATCATAGGCTTCAGGGTGTAAACCTATAAACTACTTTTTAAAACATGTAAACTTCTTTGAAAAACTGCTCTGAAAAGAAAAGAAAGCCCCTCCCAGCACTCAGGAGGCTGAGGCAGGAGGACTGTTGTGAGTTTGAGATCAGCCTGGGCTACAAAGTGAGCTCAAGACCAGCCTGAACTGCATAGCAAGACCTTGTTTCAAAAAAAGACAAAAAGAAAGAAAAGGAAGGAAGGAAGGAAGGAAGGAAGGAAGGAAGGAAGGAAGGAAGGAAGGAAGGAAAGAAGGAAGGAAGCAAGCTCCAAGGCATCCTGCTCACTCAGAACTGTCAAGGGAAGTATTTCCCTGCACTCAGTCATCCTGGTACTCAGAGGCCACTGCAGCCATGGACCAAGGGAGACCAGCTACCACTCATGCTGGTGGCAGATCTTGGTATCATCCACTTGGTGCTTGTGTTGCAGACCTACAGAATGCAAAAGTTATGAAGTCATGGAGGCTTCCACCCAGATTTCAAAGGCAGGCCTGGGAGGCCAGACAATGAGTGACAGAGTCACAGCCCCTTCTGGGAGCCACTGAGAAGGCAATTCATGCAGCTGTGAGAATGAAGCTGAAGCTGCAGTGAAGACCCCAGACATGGGGAAAGCCACGGGCATCGAGCCAAGCCAGCCCAAGAGAGAGGCCACATGGGCTTCAGCCCAAACCTAAGCCTCTGAAGCTCATGCCACCATGTACTGCGTATCCTGACCATGAAGTCGTGAGATTTAATGTCAGCCTGCTAGGTTTTAGTTTCGCTCTGGCTCAATTCTTTTCTCTCTCCCCCCACTCCTCTCTCTTGGAATGGGAATGTTTACCCTCTGTCATTGTATCTTGGGAGCATGTGACTTGCTTTTTTAATTTTATGGGTTCACAGCTAAAGGTTTGTGTTGAGTCTCAGAGGAGACTTTGGGCTTGGACTTTTGAGCAATGCTAGAACTGTTGAGATGTTGGGGAAGAAATTTGTGTATTTTCAATTGTAAGCAGGACAGTTATATCGTATTGGGTTGAATTATGATTTTGCAATAGTCTGTATTTGGTGATTAAGTATGATTTAAAGTGATGTGTTTGGGTGTCAAATTGACAAGGTGTAGATTTCTGATAGTGAATATTGATTGTGAACTTGATTGGCTTGAGAGGTGCCTGGGAGATTAATAAAGTACACTTCTGGGTGTGTCTGACTAGGTCCTGAAGGCCGTGACTTGGGGACTGTGTCTGGTCCCTGGCCTCTGGCACCATCCTCTCTGGCTCTTCCTTGCTTTCTCTGCTTCCTGGCTGCCTTGGTGCAGGCACTTTTCTTCTGCCATGCCCTTCTGCCATGTTTGTGCCTTGGAGCCAGCCAACCATTCACTGAGATCGTGAGCCTTTAAAAAACATACGTTGGGTATTTTGTCCCAGCAACGGAAAAGTAACTAACACATTGCACAACAAGAAAATTTCAAATATATTGAGCAAAGTTGACAGAATTCTAGGGAGACATGTAATCCCACAATAATAATTGGAAATTTCACCACTCCTAGCTCAGTAATGGCTAAAACAACTACACGAAAATTAGCAAAGACATAGAATGCCTGAACAATACTATCAACCTCCCTCGTTTAATTAAAATTTTATAGCACAGCACCCAACAATAATACATTGTACATTATTTTCAAGTATACAGACATAAACTGTATTCTGAGCCATGAGATAAGCAGTAAAATATTTTAAAATATTCCTTGTTATATCAAAATTGGCGGGATAAAGTTAAAGAAATATTTGGAGGGAAATATACAGTTCCAAATGTCTAGGTTGGAAAAGAGCAAAAATCTCTAGTCTATTGTCTATGCTTCCACCATAAGATACTAGAAAAAGATAAGCAACTTGTCTTTCTAACCTGTCAGCACCGCAGTGTTAGGAAGCTTGTCCAAGATTTCCCATCATATCCCGGCACCTGCACAGGACCATGCTTTGAGACCCATGTTCAAAATTGCCAGCTTCCCTGTACCACCCACTGGCTGGGGACTCTTGTGCGGGTCACCCCATCTCCTAGAACCCCTCTTCCTTGTGTGCAATGAGGAGAGCTGGCTCTGGGATGATGAGAAACATCGTGCCCAAGGTTTTTTTTTTTTTTTGTTTTTTTGGTTTTTCTCCGGTACCGGGAACGGAACTCACGACCGTGCGCTTGCCAGGCAGGCACTTTGCCGCTGAGCTAAATCCCCAGCCCCCGTGCCCAAGTTTATAATAGCCAAATCTTGGAAACAGCCCAAATGCCCACCAGCTGGTGCATGGATAAAGAAGATGTGGTTCTTTTACACAATGGAGTACTACTCTGCCATAAAGAAGGATAAGCTCAAGGCATTTCTAGGTAAATGGGTGCATCTTGAGGCAATTCTCTTAAGTGAAATAAATAAATCAGACACATGTAAATACCGCATTGCTTCTCTGATGTGAGAAACAAAAAGTGCAAATAAGGACCAAAATGTACAATAAATGTTGTGAAATAGGAAGAAAATGTTCAGATAGGAAGGGGAACGAAGGAGGGAGTAGGGGGAAAGGAAAGAAGGAAAAAGTAAAACAAAAATGAGGAAAGAAGGGAAAATGAGAACAAAGCTTTTGTAAATGGAGAGAGGAGGAGGGGTTGAAAGGAGGGGAGGGAAACGGAAAAAAAAGAATCAAGTTATGTCATGTACAGGTACAAATTCTCTGTGATGAATGTAATCGCTGTGTGCATCTAAAATGCACCAATAAAGTCTGATTGGAGAAAATAAAAAACCCATCGCGGCAGAGCCCCAGCGGGGGCAGCACCGGAAGGGCCCTGGTGGTACACAGCCCAGCCCGCACCCTCGCGCCTTCGCGGCCCGGAAGGCAGGGCGCCCGCTGGGGCGGAGAACGAGGCTGGGCGCAGCAGCTGCCGCGGGGCGCCGGCCGCTCAGGGCCCCCGG